GCTGAGTCGACCTAGGCGTTTAGTGCCGTTGTTTATAAGACTGCTACTGCTTATAGCGCACGTGCTGTAAATTGCACACGAGAGGATAATCTTAGTAAACACACAACTAAAATAATCTTCACTATCTCCCCCATTGATATTTCTCTCTCGTTCCCCGCCCACCATCTCTCGCTCTCTAGTCCCTGTGAAATGCCTTTAGCGTTTAGAATAGCTGTGATACTAAGCCTAGATGTGAGGTTGGGGTAAAAAGTTAACTCGTTGCGCGCGTGTACAGGAGCCGTAATCTGTGAAGTCGTTTTTGTGTTTATTGGTATCGTATTTATCTGCTCCAACTCACTCGCCTAAAAGTGCTCGACACATTTAGCAGAGGTAATACACACACATACACACACATTGTATTATACAAAGACACACACATGTACACGCGCGTGCGTGCACAGTATAGCAAAAGCGGAAAATTGCAATGTATCAGCATTCTTTGCATTTCAAGATGTTATCGAGATTACTTCGCAATATGTACATTGATTTTTTTGCAGTGCGAAAGGATTTTAACACCCCCCACTCCCCCCACCTCTATTTGTCTCGTCCCCATCGGAAAATCAATACATTGTCACGATTCGATTAAAGAATCGATTACGATCATTATTACTACTACGACGTGTAACATTGCGGTGGTATGTTACGTAAACAATTTCGTAACGAGGACAACAAAAAATGCCAATCGAAAAGAACAATCGATAGCGAGTCGATTAATCGATTCAACTCTTAAAGGCTCTATTCATAATGTCGGTTGCACTTGATGCCAAGTTATTATGTACAAAAAATCAACTTACACGCAAAACGAATAGCGCGATGCTTGGGCCTTATTCAATCCCCTCCTATAAACACTTCCGACTATGACTATAAGTTCTTGTTGTTGTTTACCCGATGCTTAATGTTGTCTTGGTTGTTGTCATGGAATCCATGGGGGCCGTCCGTCCAAATGTGGCGGAACGCTCCTGAAAACCAAATAGTCTCGAGGCTTACCTATGTCAATAAAGGCCATTGCAATTATAATGCTAATGATTATTACCGAATGCGTATAATTTACGCGACCCATATGCATTTGCACCGAGCTCATTTACGAAATGCTCTGGAGAGATGATGTATGCGGCACTCCACAATGTGTCTCCTTATACAGCGGTGGTTCTTCTTAGCGTGGGGTGCATCACGCCACCCTCTGGGGATGCGAGATGCCCTTTCTGGGGGGGGGGTGCGAGACACACGGCCAGAGTTTATTTTGTAGGAGGTAAATAATCGAAGCACACTCGTTAAGCACGCGGGCACGTGAGTAAAACTTGCCTTGCTTCATCATACCCTACGCAAGTATAAACGTTATACTTTTGTAACGATTGAAAACCACAGCGAAGGTGAAGAACCGCTGACTTACAGTATATATAGAGACTGCATGTATGATACGTACGTTATGATACCTAATTACATTTGTTTCGGTGATTGATCTCGCCACGTTTCTTCGTCGTCAAAAGCCTCTGCCGCCCAACGTAGCCCGAACTCAAGCACACACGTGGCAATTCGTTCGGTAGCGTCGGGTGGTGCGGGGTTTGATGACAACAATGACTAGCACGCGCACACACACGAAAAAAATAAAATATTTCTAGTCATAGTATTGGCGGCTAAAAATCTATACGCGCTAAGGTTACACGTCAGTTATGCGCTGTGTACATGTATACATCGTAATACATGTACGCAGTATTGCATGTGTATACCACATATAACACAATGTGTATGAGAACACAAGTGCAATACGCGTGTGCTCCGAGAAAAAAAATGCAGTATATAATTACTGTGTTTATACATATACAGTACACACAACCTGTACACACACACATTGTGTATACAAGGACACGTTGCAGCAGTCACTGCGCCCGTGCGTTTCAAATACAGATTCACATTACACACGCGTGTACTGCATAAACATTCAGTACATGCTCTGTGAATGTATATAACAGTAGTGCGCATAATACTACAAGGCCTGGATTGTGTGAGCTGTGACAGAACTACTGCAGCAGCCGATGTTATTGTTCCAAGTGCTGCATACACTTTCTGCGATGTAATCTATAATCGCTGCTCATAAGAGGGGGTTTGTTTTTTTGGGTTCGATCGCGTAAATACTTTAATGTGTGTCGTTAAAAACCCGCCACCACCCGACACAGCCAACTAGTAAGGGTTGTCACGTAAACAGAACGTGGCCAATTCGTCATTAGTACAGCGCACCGGTGTGTTGGAGAGCCAAGCCACAACATTTACAAACGCCGTATTGTATCGTTCGCCATCCAGCAGACGATACAATAAACAATTAGCGGCGCGTTCCGCGTGGCGGTTCAAAATGTTGTTGCTTTTGGCCACGCTGGGTAGAGTTGGAGGGGATTTGACGACATAATCACGGTGGGTCTAACCCTCGAAATAAATAATGAATCGTCGTTAAATTCTTCCACCGGCATGTGTTTCACTTCAACGGCACACACACACATATATGTAAATATCTCCAGAGTTCCATTTCATCTGGGGTCGGCAAGCAGCAACACATTTCCACACCCGATACACGGCATCCATCATTCCTCTCTCGCTGTCGTTGCTATACACGTGCCACCTACCCCAGTCAACCAGCGACCTGGTACATACGCATGAAGTCCTGTGTGTGTCTGTATATATTGATACGTGCATACACGTGAACATAATGTACACATACGCACGCACACGAATTAACACACATACCATAAACACTAACAGATGCACACATTATGAACGCACACATGAACACACACGTATGCACAGAGGCAGACACATATATAAATATGCACACAAACAAGAGTCAGACACAGGAACACATGGATACATACACAACACGAATGAGCACACAAAAAGATATAGCCTTAACAGACTGTAGGGGCAAGTGCTGTTAACACCGATGAAGGCCGGAACGGCACACGAGTTGGTGGGTTGCCAGCAACACGCCCGACCGCCTTTGTCTCCCCAGTAGCGATGTTTATACACCGCACCGGGTACTCATTTGAGGCTGAGTCGACCTAGGGGAGACCCACGACCGGTTCAGATAATCGTCACTGGTGTTGGCCGTGAGCGGGAATCCGAACCCGGGTCGCCGGGTTCATAGCGCAGTGCGCTAACCTCTGGGCCATCGCTCCCCAGCAAACACACGCTAATATAACTGCATACACAAGACATAAAGACATACACACAAATACACTGCCGCACACAAAGATGCAGACAGAGGGACGCATCCACACAAATACATATATACACAGACATACACACTGACACACACGAACCATCAAGCTCAAAGGTCTGTGGCCACTCCACATTACCACGACGGGGACCAATCTATCCATAAGTCAAACCACCCTTGCCCAAGTACACACACACACAGCAAGGACAAAGATCCCCCATATAGCATACACAGGCAGTTGGAGCAAGTGCTACCGTTGTCTCCTCGGTGCTGATTGATGTTCGCCTACAGCGCCGCCGGTTCTTAAGACACCCCCCTCCGCCGCTGAGATTGACCGTGGCCCGGGCACAAACTTAGGTAACGCGGTTTCGCAGTGCGCTAAAACCACTACGCCGCACGCACGCTGCAGCAGGTCTCCTTAAAAAGACAAAGATCTGTCCACCCCGTATACCCTTTCGAGCAAACTGTGCAGAGCAAGTGCTGTTTGCGAGCACCTATGAAGGCCGGTAACGAGCGCACGATTGGTTGCGCGAGTGGCTGGGATAGCCAACAATCACGGCCCCCTTTGTATCCCCCGCGCCGACGTTTTACACACCGGCACACGGGGTGCTCATTGCAAGGTTAAGTGGAACCATACTCGACTCACTAACTCATACAAAGAGACAAAGATTCCCTCGTATATATTATAGCCTTTAGCAGGCTGTCGTGGGGGCAAGTGCTGTTAGCGAGCAACTATGAAGGCCGGCACGGGCTGGGGGGGGTGGGGGGCAGCACCACGGCCACCTACCTCGGGTTCGTAGTGCCAGTGCGCTAACCACTGCTCCACCGTTCCCCACACACACACGCGCGCTCGCGCGCACGTGCACACGAAAACAGCAAAGCCACGCGCGTCCATGATATCAATCTCGCCGGCGTCTTGACGCCGTACAAAGAAGTCACAGTGCCTTTCGTAAACATACACGGTCCTCGTTAATGAAGTGCGTTGACGAATAACAACAGCGGGTACTTATTGACACTGATAGTTGTTTATGCAGCAGGTCTTTTTTTCAGAAGGGTCCCGCTACATTGAGGTTTTTTTTTCTAAAATTTTATTTAGTACCAAGATGTTTTCAGCCAATTAATGAGTATTTAAAATAATGATATGATAATTATAATAATCATTATGATTATACGAGAGGGGGAAACTGGAGAACATCCGGAAACACTCCCCCCCCCCCCACTGCGCGAGGGAGCAACACTATATCCCCATACACAAACAGATGGCCGATTAGTCCCTCTCGCTATATACCTCCTTCTTCTGGCGAGCCAGAAGGGGGGGGGGCAAAAAGTGGAGGCACGGCAAACCTCACCAAAGCCCACCCACAAATCCACACGACTTCGGGGAAGCTTCAAAGCGACATCTGTGCTGGATAACAGGCACCACGTGGAGCAGCACAGCAACGTCAACCACGGCGCTCGTGCCAGGCTGGGTGCACTTGGAGTCCACGCGAAGGAGTCGATGCATCACCACCACCACACTGTGCCCGCTGTTCAGGAAGGTTCACGGAACAGACGCACGTGTCATGAGTTGACTTGAGATGAGATGACTGGCAGATGCACCAGCGCTGTGCCGAACCCCCTCTCTGCATGTTAACCGCCCGGCGCTACGCTTGTTGTAGTTACAACCAGTACTGTCCATAGTTAAGGGGGGGGGGGGGGGGGTGCGGGGCCCGGGCCCGGGCCCCCCCCCCCCCACCACCACAACAACCCAACGCCTTTAAACTCCCCCCCAAAGCGCGGGGCCCGGGGCGAACGCCCCAATTTGCCGTGCGCTAGAGACGGCTCTGAGTACAGCCACCAACACCACCAACAGCGGTGGCGAGGAAGCGATCAGCCCCTGGCCGACCACTCACACCACCCACACCACTCCCCTTGCTCCCTCTATAAAAATGGGTTCCCTGCGTAGTACTGCAGACGGTCCCGGTTCAGCTTCTTCTCCTTCATCCGCCGGTTCTGGAACCAGATCTTGACCTGTCGGTCGGTGAGGTTGAGGAGGCGCGACAGTTGCAGGCGCTTCTCCTTGTTGATGTAGACGTTGAAGAAGAACTCTCGCTCCAGCTCGCGGATCTGGAACTTGGTGTAGGGGCAGCGCTTCTTACGCACGCGGACAGCAGCTGTGGGTTAGGGGTGGTGGTGGTTGTTGTTGGTTGATTGGTCGTTTGGTTGTTTTGGTTGTTCGTGTGGATTTGAGAGGTGGTGTGTGTGTGTGTGCGGTGGGAGACGTGCGTAAGTGGTGTGCGCAGCGTGGTGGTGTGGTGAATGGTGTGTAGTGTGGTGGTGGTGGTGTGTAGTGTGGTGGTGATGGTGGTGTGTAGTGTGGTGGGGGTGATGGTGTGTAGTGTGGTGGTGGTGATGGTGTGTAGTGTGGTGGTGGTGTGTAGTGTGGTGGTGATGGTGTGCAGTGTGGTGGTGTGTAGTGTGGTGGTAGTGGTGGTGATGGTGTGTAGTGTGGTGGTAGTGGTGGTGATGGTGTGTAGTGTGGTGGTAGTGGTGGTGATGGTGTGTAGTGTGGTGGTGGTGGTGTGTAGTGTGGTGGTGGTGGTGTGTAGTGTGGTGGTGGTGTGTAGTGTGGTGGTGGTGGTGGTGTGTAGTGTGGTGGTGGTGTGTAGTGTGGTGATGGTGGTGATGGTGTGTAGTGTGGTGGTGGTGGTGATGGTGTGTAGTGTGGTGGTGATGGTGTGTCGTGTGATGGTGCATATCGTGCGGTGGTGGTATGTGTTGATGTATATAGTGTGGTATGTATTGTGTGGTGGTAGTGGTGTGTATAGTGTAGTGGTATTGTGTGGTATGTATAGTTTCATAGTGGGGTGTGTAGTAGTGGTGTGTATAGTGTCGTGGTAGTGTGTACAGCGTGGCAGTAGTGTGTATCGTGTGGTAGTAGTGGTGTGTATCGTGTGGTGGTGTGCTGTGTGTTGTTGTTGGTGTGAAGAGGGAAGAGACAGAGAGATGATGCGCGTGTGCGTTGAGTAGTGTGTGTGTGGTAGTGTGTAGAGGGGGAGCGGATATGGTGAAAGAGCGGAAGATGGAGAGAGAGTGAGATGGAGAGAGAGGGAGTGTGTGTGTGTATATTGGGGGAGGGGGTGACGTACATTGTGGGGTGGGGTGGTGCGTGTGTGGGGTGGTGAGTGTGGGTGGGTTTGGGTGTGTGTGGTGGTGTGTGTGTGTGAGGTGGTGCGTGTGGGTGGATGTGTGTGGGTGTGGTGGTGTGGGTTGCGAGGTGGTGCGTGTGGGTGTGTGTGGGGTGTATGGGGTAAATGTACAGTGTTGGCGTGGTGTAACATGTACAGTGCGGTGTGCGTGGGGTTGTGTAGGGAGGTAACGGGAAGGAAGAGGAGAGACAGATTAAGTGTGATGGTGTGTGTGGTGTGTGTATGGTGGTAGTGTGTGGTGGTGTGTGTGTGTGGTGTGTGTGTGGTGGTAGTATGTGTGGTGGTGTGTATGGTGGTGTGTGTGTGGTGGTAGTATGTGTGGTGGTGTGTGTGTGTGGTAGTGTGTATGGTGGTGTGTGTTCACGTGCGACTGAATGCATGCATGATGTAATAACAGTTTGTGTGCTAGTAATATATAGATGGGATGGACGGGAATAGGGGGGGGGTGAAACGTGGGGGCGGAGATAGTGTGTGTGCGTGTGTGCGTGTGTGTATGTGTGACTGAGAGTATGTGTGAGATGATATTGCAAAGTTGTATATAATGTGTGCGTGGGACAGGAAAGTAGTATATTATATTGATATTGTGTTGATGTGTGGAGTGTTGTGTTCATGCATGCGTGTATAGTTGTGTGTGCGTGTGCAGCTCTGTGTGTGCGTGCGTGTGTGTGTAAGGTTGTGTGTGTGTGATGTAAACGTTAAGTTATTGTATACGTGTGTGCATGTGTATTGTATGTGTGCGTGTGTTTACGTGCGTGTACGATTGTGTGTGCATATGCAAGAATAACAGATTGTGATTAGTGCAAGAAGGTACGTGCATGCGTGAGTACTTGTGCATGAGCCATCATGTATGTTACGTGCGCGTATGTGTGTGCGAGAGAGAGAGATGGTACGTGCATGAGATGATACACACACACGCACACACACGCGCACACACACACGCGCGTGCACACACACACGCGCGCACACACACACACGTTAAGCATTATCTGTATTACGGTCAAACAGCATCAACAACAAACACTCAATTCGCAAGCGCAGCCGTGAGAAAGGCTCAATCTGCCGATTGGAGATGTATCTTTAGCAACAAATAATAATTACACTTTATAAAATGGTAACTTTAATCATCGTTATTCGCAGTCGTGGACGTTCGTAGGATGTTATGGTTAACGCACGTGCACGTTCCTTACTTAATAGGGTAATTGATCCTTATTTAATGTAATATGTTAAGTGACGAGATCGCCTCTGGGTCGATATCTAACTACGTAATTAAGCAATAGACCGATCGCATGTCAATCAATTAATTACGTGATCGGCCTCTTGATTAATTAAGTCACGAATCAAGCAATTAATTCCTTGATTAAGTAATGTATTAACTAATACGCTAGATCACGATTATAATTTCGTGCAATGCTATTGCTTTCAACATATTTACAGATACGTTCTTTGCATTTTTTTTAAAATTTACAATATGGTATTCAATTATCGAAAGTTCTTGACACTACTAACCGGCATTGTACACACACACACATAACAACAATTATAACAATGATGTAAGTACGGTGTATATATACTAGCCACATTATTGTAGATAATAGTTGTTGTGCCTGGTTGTACTTATCGATATTAAACCGTATACTATTAAAGTTCGTTATGTCGGTGTCTGATCATTCATCACTGGGGGTAATTCGGCACGGCTGCGCTTTGGGTATATACTGTAATTGCTCATTTGTAATATATACATACGTATATTAAATACACACATTAACAATGATAACAATGATGAAGGTACCATATATAAGCCATATTATTGTACTTAGGAATTTTGTACCTGGTTGTATGCGTCTACATTTAATCGTATAGTTGCAAATGTGTACTACTAAGTTCATTCATAATTGTAATACACCATGTTCACGACCATCTCACAATCCTCCATTTAAGCAATATCGGAGCTCAATATAAAATGCCAAGAGACTACATATTGCGAGGTGGTTTATTTCGTATGTTCTTCTAGGATTTCTAGAATATTTTGGTGAAAGAATAACATTCATATACAGCTGGAGCGATTTTACGTGAGCCGTGGGCAGTCTCCCTGTGTTCGTTAGTCCCAACTCTTCAGTGTCGCTATCTATAATAATTGTTATTAATAATGTAATTAAACGTGTTCCGAACTTTTTTTTCTTCCGCAATTTCAACTCAACCCTTCCACGTGTATTTATTTCCACGGAAAAATCCCGTGCAGCCAGCTACCCAGCTAGCTTCCGCGGCATCGGCCCCGCGGCAGCCGCCACCAACAGCGTTACTGTTGCGACGGTGGAGAGGAGCCCAGTCAGCAGCCAGCCAGCAAACTCGAAGCATGGATTATTTTTTACACACAGCCCTTTGTCGATCCACTGCTGGATGAATGCGTGGCGATCACAGTGGGGAGGGGGGGGGGAGGGGGTTGTTTGACCATACTTCACCACGCTGGTCATTATGGTTTGGCGGAGTGGGTGCCGTGGCTAACCCGGTGCAGATGTAAACTCGCCACCACTGGTGTTGGCCGTGTCCGGGAATCGAACTGACGTCGCTCGGTTCAAAGCGCAGTGCGCTAACCACTGCACCACCGCTCCCACTCCAATAGTCTATTGATATCGACTCTTAATGGCTACCATTCATTTGTTGTGCGCGCAACAATGACCGTGTTTTGATTTTATTTTATTTACGTATGAAAATTACGATTACGACGTCGAATATCCAGCGCGCTGGCGAATGAGGTATTGAGCGGATAAATGGAAAGGTCAGATGTGTGGACACGTGGACACGTGTGACATCACGGGACACGAACACGAACGTAATCTACGTCCGGTGTTCCAATTGGAAATTCGCCCGCAGACGTGAAAATCGCGGACTCGGCGAGCGAGTGAAAGAGCCTCATGACCACGGTGCTTCATGCACGCAGATAACTCATATTGCAATCTGGAAATGACCGGAGAAACAAACCCCTTCCACCCTCCCTACCTCCCACCTATAACACGAGCAGCCGATAGACTCGTGGCAACAGGTTTAGATTAAAGTAAATAACATAAAAAACGACGACGTTTTGATCACAACACAAGCGATCGTTATCGATCGCTTGTGTTGTGATCGAAACGTCGTAGTTTCTTTTTTTCTATCTACGTGACTTTACCGAAAGAACCAAGAATATGAATTCCTGCAGTCCCGAAAGTTTTAAGTAAAAAAAATATCAAAGACAAATATCCCCTCCCCTGCCCCCCTCCCCCCCCCGTAGCATTTCAGAGACTCTTGGGGCACGTGCTGTGACGTGGCCAGCACCATGCCCGGCCGCCTTTGTGTCCCTCGTGGCGACGTTTACAAATCGCACCAGGCTCTCATTTTGAAGGCTGAGTTGACCTAGGGGAGGCCCGGGACCGGTTCAGATAATCGTCAATGGTGTTGTTGCAATATCAACAACAACCGTCATTCACCACTAATTGGCGGTGACGTCGCCACGGCGCTTGTGCCAGGCTACGTGCACCTACAGGCAATATCACACGAAGGCACACGGGTGTGAGGTATAGCAGTGGAAGTCGGTGGATATTGCTGCACTGATGAGGCCCAAGTATGGTGAAACAGGTCCGCAGTTTTACCTATCATCGCCGTCACTGCTTCTGCAGCTGCCGTTAGTTTGGTCAACTTTTCTCGAATCGATATTGACGTGGACCTAAGACAACAGGAACCACACAAACTGCACTGAAACTATAAACTATTTTTTTAATTATTATTTTACCGGGGTAAGGCCCCACTGAGGTATGTAGCTCTTTTTCAGAAGCGACCTGGCCGGCCATCACAAATGACACGCTCAACGAAGTGGGCTCATCACGTGGAAATTTATAGCAACCAAAGTACTCTTAAGCGCACGTTTCTAAACGTGCAGGCAAAACTTCCGGAGGACCCGGTTTAAAAAAGCCACGTGAACACTTCTTTCA